GTGTCAGAGGCAGTGCGGTTGGCGCAGGATAGAGCAGGGTTTAGGGCTGTTTTGCATAGGGTCGCTATGAGTCGCAAACGACTCGACAGCACTGAAGAACAACAACCACAATCCTTATATTCTAGTTTTATTTACATAAATAGAAGGGAAAAAAACATTTAATTTCAAATTTACCATGCTTTGTATCAGGATACAAACTTTCATATAACAACATAAGTAGGATTTTTGGGGATAAATTAACATCTACAGTATTACCCTTTTAAAACATAATGACAAAGTAGTATGAAAGAAGTTTTTTAAAAAGAGAGTCATACGTGTTTCCTATTGCCAAAGGGGCCCTTGAGAGTAGTGAGAGAAGATCTTCACCCTTAAACCTACAGTGTGCCTTTTCAGGAAGTAGCTAAGAGAATACGCCATCCCCTTTTCCTTATGTATCAATAAAGTCTCTCTCAGGGAGGAGTGATAGGGAATGGCAAAGGATATACTGACAAAGGAGATTAATCAGAACTGGCTTCCACAAGCACTGCGGCAATGGGACAATTAAAACAGACTTTCAAGGGGGGAGAAAAGAGCAACGAACTGAGGGGGGGTAGAGAAAGTAGCACAACAATGAATGAATGGAAACCCAAAATCTCTGTAAATGTTCATTAAAATTAATAAAATTTAATGGAAAAAATAATCATAAAGTTCATCAGAGACTAACTGGGATCAAGCTTAGAAAGCCTAGTGTATGGTATAAAAAGACTGTAAAATACAGCCAGAAATAAACAACCAAGAGAGGATTAAAAAAAAAAAAAAGAGTCATAAGAATCACTGTTAATAAGATTAAATAGAAAATAATTCTATTTTTATTATGTTCCATATTTAAGGAAATTTGAAGTCTTTTATTATTTCTTTTTTATTCAAATGGAAACAAATAAAATTTGTCCAGAGAGACCTACCTGAGCTCTGTTAGGAAGACTTGTTCCAATTAGTCACTTCAACCCTCATATCTCCTTTTCAGAAAATCAGGAAACAGTATGGGCAGAGCCCATCTAACACTAGATGCCACCATAAACTAGGGCACCAAGTTCCATAATTTATGGGAAACATGATGAAAAAGTCCAAATGTTTTAGAGCATTATTTCTCTATCCAGAGTGACAGAATCTGTTTCTCCAGATTTGTAAACAATAATCTTCTCCACTACCCAACTAGTATTAAATATATCAGTGAGTTCGAAAGGTTCTCTAAATTCCCCTTCCACTATCACTTTGGCAATTTGTCTCAGAAAAGTTGAGTTCTCCCTTTTGTTAATGAATACATGAGGTAGTGAGGGCTTTAACATAGAAAATCACATACACTCTGCTTAATTAACCATCACCTAATTCACCATTAATATAAAATGCAGCTGAACCTTCTGTAAATGAATACTTTTAAAGAAAATCACATTATCATATAATCTTTGCTAAACGTTTCTTTATTTCTACATCTACATAGAATTGTTGGATGCATCTGATATTTTAGAGGAGAGGCAGTTTATGTAACATGTATTATATTTTTCCACTTCTACAGAATTGGCAGCTAATAAAGTGCTGATAAGGTCAGGAAAGCCAATTAAAAGTCCAAGACATAGAAAATTAGAATCCTACCATATGGTCAGTATTCTGTAGATACCGTTTCTAAGTTAACCATTAAACTGTCCTCTGCCATGTCATGTAAGGAAAGTTGACAGTTTCTTCAACTAACTTTGTTGCTAATTCTGAAGATTAACCAATACTCATTTCTGCTGAGTTAATTCTGACTCAGAGAAACACTACAAGATGCTTTAAACTGCCTTCTAGGGTTTTCAAGGCTTTAATCTTTATGAAAGCAGACTGTCACATCTTTCTCTCATGGAGTGGCTGTTGGCTACAATTTGCTAACTGGGTTAGGAGCTGAGAGCCTACCCCCTGAGTCATCATGGCTCCTTTCTCTGTGAGTCAATTAACATACTTCAAAAGAATTGTCTTCCAAAATATCCATTTGGAGTGGAGTAAGTGAAAAAGACCAAGTTTGGCAAATGCCAGTGACTAAATTTTCAGATGTTAACCTTACTAAGTTAAGAATAATTAATTTTTGTTTGTTTACGGGATTGTAATTGATTAGCAAACAATACGCCTTGCATCATATCTTGAAATCTGATTTTCTATTCATTTAAAGCAGACCGCTGTGATGTTGCTCTATTTCACCTTATTGTATAAAAAGCAAAATACATCATCTTCAGGATTTCTGTGTTACAGCAAAGTTTAACATTATGTCTTCATGTAAAATAGGCTAAATATATACATTTCTTTTACAATTTTAAAAATCTATACATAAAAGCTCCTGCAAGGCAGATAGTGTATATTTTTTCCAACTTACTGTATGAGAGTTGGAAACTCAATAAATAACAGTCGAATTAAAGAACAAACTAAGAAATATAATTTGTTATGTTTACTAGTAAAATTCAAGGGAAAATCATTCAACAAAACTATAAATTAGAACATTAAAATCAGCTTGGATGACAAAAATTAAATAACAACACATGTAAAAAAATGAATATTTATTCATGATCTAAATTTTTAATCCCAGGACCTTGTTGAATACATTTAGTAAACAATTATTCAATTACTTTGTAGTTGGCAGAAAAAGCTCTACAGGTATAAGATATCATAAAATATCTTTTGTTAACAAAAACTGTTAGTAAAAAGGGATTTTCATATAAATAGAGAAAGAAAATGTCATGCACAATATGAAATGCCAGGCTTAAAAAAAGATAGACAAAGAGAATATTAGAGAAATTCAAGAGGATTTGATTCTCAGATTTATCTCACAAATTTATCTGATATATAGATCCCATTCATATATTTAACATAGCATAAAGGAGGGATGAGTATGAAGGCAAAGTCACTTACAATGTAAAACAAAACGACCTCACCATGTTTAATATGGGTAACTGCATAAACAGAATTATTTGATAAGTATTGCTAATAATATATAATGAAAGAAAGATGGGCAATCATGTTTTGTGCAATTTATTGCCTCTAAAAACTGACTAGAGGGTCAGTGATGAGTCAGTTCCAACTAGACAGTACATAACAACAATAATAATCAAAACCTAAATAAAGGAATTAAATACAGAAGAAAGAAAGATACACATTTGGCATCAGTCTGATTTTGATTCCCCACTACAGTTCTTTAAAGTGTTTCTGAATATCTGTTATATAGATTGGTCTTGATAGATTTTCTTTTCTCTACAGAAAGAGGTCAAGAGAACAATTTTATAGCCCCAAAAGAAAACCATACAAGTACCTGTAAAATTGCAACTTCATTACGAAGCTGGCTTTCTTGTTTTGTTGGAAATCTTAATTTGTCAATGATTTTAATAGCTACATCTCTTCCTGTTTTACGATGTTTTCCTAAAAATAAAAGGAAGACATTAGTACAGTGTTGTTAAGCATCATCTTTATTAAAGGAAAAACAAAACTGACAAGGCATTTATAGGAATTATAAAGATGCTTCAGTGAATAAATTAACATTCATGAAGAACACTGATTCATATCCATAAAGATTTTGTTTCTCCCACCATTATCCTAAATCAAACATGGGGTTGAAAATTAAACACAATTTAAAACACAAAAGAATTGAGGGATTAATAGCTATGTGTGCCAAGAGCCTGATTATTTTAGCATAAATGTTTCAGAAACACGATATTAAGTTACCTTATACAGAAAATATGCATACCATGAACAAAAGTGATCTCCTTTATATAGTTTGAAAGTCTTTAAATGTCTCTGTATTATAGACAAAATAGTAAAGTACTGGAACTGACACTACCTTTGTGAATCTAAGTAAATCATTACTCTGTGTTTTAGATTCCTCACCTTCAATAACAAGAGTTTTATTGTTAGGATTAAATAAAACATGTATAAAGTATAGAAATGCTACACTCAAAAATCTTGGTTATGATTCTCACCATGATAGACACTTTAGAGAATCAGTCAATTTAATTATCACAGATCCACAGGCATCTATAAGTTATCTTAGGTTCTTAACTTGTATAATATTACTCTATAATGAGTGCAGAATATAGTGGACTAGTTTTTTCATCATAAAGAAGTGCAGTTAAAATTTTAGACTCTCAGCATTCATTATTATAAATTTTCTGTTTGTTCACTTTAAAACTACTCTGTAACTGGTTCTTCTAAACCCTTCTCAACTTCTTGTACATTATCACATATTTTCATGTACTTATTTTCTTTTACTATACATTCTTAGCATCCTCTAAATGCTTAACCTAGCTGTAGCCTCTATGCTAAATAAACAATTTTATTACAATTACGTTTGTCAATCTTCTGAGACTTTTGTCATCTACTTGACACTGTATGCACCTCTCCCTAGTTTTTCAGTTTTCCTTTTGAAGGCTGGCTGTCTAAAATTTGATCTCTCAAATTACATGATACTATTTCTCATTAGTGTCCACCATTATCCCAACACACACACACACACACACTCTCTCTTTCTCTCTCTCTATTAGTATAGGTTACCCATGGTGGACAATGTTTGGTGGAGCTCTCAGTTTAAGACAGCACTTCCTAAACAACATGCCACTGGAAAATCTACAAGTTTTTATAAATACCAATTGTTATAGAAAGGCTTCAGGCCTTTTGCTCATAGGGTTGCTATGAGTCGTACTCGACTCGAAGGCAATCAACAACAGTAACAACAACGTTATTTTAGTATATTTAGTTATATCTACTCCTATTTTCTGGCATGGAATTATAACACTTACCTAATGTTGATCTCTGTAGTACTTACTTCGTCTAGCACTACTAGCACTAGTAAACAGTTCATTCTTGAGTTTCTCATCAAAGAAGAACATTAAATAATTATAACATTCACTTTTATAATTTATATATAAGGCACTAGAGTAATTATCTATTCTCGTAAAGCCATATCAATGTCTATAAGCTACTTTAAAAATTACTGTCTTCTTTTTCCCCCTTCTGGGTACTATGCTTCCAGGGAGCTCTGGTAGCCTAGTGGATAGAGAGTTGCTCTGCCAACTGAAGGGTGAGCATTTCAAATCCACTAGTGTCTTTGTGAGAGAAGGATGAACTATCTTCTGTAAAATTTACAATCTCTGGAAACCTACTAGAGGGAAAGCTATGAGTCAGTTCTAACTCAACATCAATGAGTTTGAAGGTTTTTAATGTTCTGCTTCCAGCAAAAAAAGGACAGTGAAAAAAAACAATGACAAAAACAAAAACACACACCAAACAAACCCAACCACATAAGTCTCATAAGGAAAAAAATATTTTTCAAAATATAGTAGAAATATTTTTTAAAATAAAAGGCAATATTTTGACATTTATTTTTTAAAATAAAAGGCAATGATGAGCAATAAGTTTGAGTGGGACACAATTATTTCAGGGAATCCTCACCATATAAATAGGACAATCTCTTGTTATCAAAGGAACTGAAAATTATGGCACTATATTCCAGGGCAGCTAAAACATTAATATTAAATATTCATAGAGTTTTGAATTTTTTTTTCTTGGTCTGGTCAATGTTTAAAATCACAAAGTGAAAAAAAAGAAATATATCAACAAATTCAATGAATGGGAAAATGTAAAATTTCTGTATTTTATGTAAATATTATAAAAAAGTCAAATCTTGTGAAATACCTTATAAAAGATACAAAACATTGAAAGGATACACTTTCCTAGTCTCATAAAGTGGATTTCTGTAGGATTCTGGTAAAAAATGCCTAAAGAAAATGGAACTTACTAGTCTGTTAGCAACAACGCTTTTGTTTCCTGAATATGTTGCTTACATAAATAAAATGGCTTCAGCACTGTATATTGTTGTTGTTAGGAGCTGTTGAGTTGAATACAATTCATATAGACTCTATTATAGACAGGTCTGAACCTTGTCCTATCGTATGTCATCCTCGCAATCTCAGACACATTGCAGCCCACTGTTGGAGTCATTGTGCCAATCTACCTGGTTGAGGGTATTTCTTTCTTTTGCCATCCCTCCATCTTCTTAAGCATGATATCCCTGTCCAACAAATACTCTTTCTTAGCAAGATGCCTGGAGTATGTGAGATGAAGCTTTATTATCTTTGCCTCCGAGGAACCTTCTACCTTCACCTTCTCCAAGACATATCTGTTTGTTCTTTTGGCAGTCCATGGGATGGATATTCAGTACTCTTCTCCAACATCACAATTCAAAGGTATCATTTCTTTTGTCAGCTTTATCTATTGTCCAGCTCTCAGATGCACAGCAAGTAACTGAGAAGACCATGGCCTGAGTCAGGCACATCTTAATTCTCAAACCAACATCACTGTTCTTCAATAATTTGGAGAGGTCCCTGACTGCAGAATTTCCCAGTGCAATCAATACATGTCCTGATGATGGTACCAAGTGTACGGACTGTGAATCCAAGTAAGATGAAGTTGTTGAGAGTTTTTTTCTCCTTATATCATGATGTTGCCAATTGGTCTAGTGGTTAGAATTATTGTTTTCTTGATGTTGACATGCAATCTATATTGAAGGCTTCAGTTATTGATCTTCTGCAGTAAATGCTCCAAGGCCTCTTTACTTTCAGCCAGCAAGTTTGTGCCATCACACTCACAAGCTACCTCAGAACAGCAAACTAAGAAAAGTCCTGTAATACTTAGAATATAGATAAACAAGCGACACATACACATAGGTTTTGTACCTTCTGGTTTTCCTTAAAAGGAGATGTTATTTTTTTAAATATCAAAATTCATTTTTATTGAATTGGAATCGACTCATAGCTATCCTTCCAGTAGAGTTTTGAGTCTGCAAATCACACAGAAGAAGACAGTCCATCTTTCTCCATCAGACCTACTGGTGGAATTCATCTACCGGAGAAATGTAGCCTTTGTATTAGTCGGGAAACTTCCCATTGACTCTGAGAGTTAAAAATTTAAATCATGCAAAAAACTTTATTTAGTTAATTGACCTACCTCCATAAACAATTCCAAACTGTCCAGAACCAAGCACTTCATCTGGAAATATCTGATATACTGTGCTGATATCCTACAGGTGCAAGTCCCAGTGAAAAACAAGTATGAGGTGGATTAAGTCGTTAGTGTTCATATTTTACATTTCTGTAAATTATTTTAAACTGAAATAATGGAATTGTAAATGCTACATGAAATTTATTAGTATAATGTTCACAGGAGTCTCTATATTAGTTAATATTATAATGGCATAAAATTTCTTCCAATCTTACTTGACAGAGGTCTTCTAATGTGCCCACAAATGTATCTCCATGGAGAAAATGAGACTTAACATGTACTACAAGACATCTGCTATATATATTCAAAGAGAGATTTTCTTACTTTGGTGGCTATTTAGAAATTTCATGAGAAATAATCATGATTCCTAATCACGTTTTTGTTGGACCTGATTCCAAATACTTTCACCTTTATGGGTACGATGGTTAGTTTGCTTCCCTAAATCAGTCATCCATACCAACAGGAATGTAAGAAAAGGAATCTAAATTACTGTGAGTTAACCAGTGACACCACAGAAGGTTGAAAATCCATTTTGAAATTCTAATTTGTGAAAAGCTAAACTCTTCCATTTTTTCCTGCACCTGGAGGCAACAATCTGAAATGTTACTTTTTTATTTGAAATGCTAACTGTTGAATAAAGCAGTCTTTTTTTTTTAAGGTATGGTTTCTCAATCCTTTTAGTGACTGAATTCAAGAAAACACATTACTTTTGACAAAGCATTCCAAATACATTTTACTCTATTTGCTGTTTCCCTTCCACACTTGCTTTTCACCCTTGCATAAAAAGAAAATCAAAAAGAATTATTCATACAGCTCTATTCTCAGCATAATATATCCATGCTTGTATGCTGCTTCTTACTACAAAGGCAACTCTAAGTTGTATCTACTTGTAATTCTTTCACAATATCCATTGAATGAGTTCACTGTGGTCTGGAGACAAGACAATGGGTTGTATACTCTTCTTCTTATCTATTGTTTTGAGTTCCAGCTCTCCACTATAACAAAAGTCCTTTTAGGATTCTCTCTATCAACTCAAGGATGATCCAGACTTTCTATGAATACTGGAATTGCCCACAGTTCTCTAGAATTTTCCAAAACATCTACAAGTGTAAGCTCATTTTTCCAAAATTGCTTTTAAGCTATTAAGCAAGAGCAATAAGAATTTGCAGCTGTTGAAGAATTTGTCCTGTAACTAAAAGCAGACAATTCAGCTCATCTTCTCTACAAAATTTACTTCATTTCCACTAATTCATTTTTGTCTTTATATTTATTTATGCTAATTTAGCCAAGATCGTAAAACTGTACTTGTAATTATCATACCTTAAGGGTTTATGCTTGAAAAATGAAAATCAGATCACTGTTAAGTAAGGCTGTGAAAGGCTTTCTATTGATCATAAATAGGTAAGGCACTATGGAATGATAAGCCTGGATCACAAGGTGGGGTGGGAAAGGGCTGAATGGTTTTTTTTGGTTACTTGTTCTAATGACAAAGTATAATGAAAAAAGATAGGACAGAAACTAAATATTTCATAATATGCATGATCTTAGGTTCTAAAGGATTAAGATTTATTTGGCATAGGTAACTAGGTGCTCAAATTTTAATTAATATAATCTGATTTATTCCGTTATTGTTATTCCATTATTGATATGTTTCAATGACTGTGACAATATTCAATACTTGTATAACACCCCTAGTTAGTGATAGCATCAATTAATGAAAACAACTCTTATGTTTATTTGTACCTATGAAGTAGTTTGTCTTTGTTATTGTTGTTGTCAGCTTTTATTTTTAACAAAACAAATGAAATATATTAATTAAGGTAATAAGACAGGGATTAATGAAAGGCAGACCACCCAAAAGAGTTAAAGTGAAAAAGAAAGAAGACAAGGGAAAAGGTAAAGGACCCCTGGAAAGACAGAGGTGAACTCAACTCTTACAGCATGCTGTCAGCAGAAAAAAGGAGGGGAAAAGAGCTGATGTGTTTATTTTATTTGGTATTGTATGACATCATGGAAAATCCTAGCACCAAGCTGGGCAAATATGTGAAAATCAGAAACTAAATTATAATTTGTTAGCTGAAATGAGTAATAAATATTAGGTGTGACATTATAGAACAGATTATAATAAAAATCATTAAAAGAAGCCCCATCATGTAAGGTTCCTAAAATTGTATTAAAGGAAAACATCTAAATGATTCTTTTTTCTTCTTCTGAGAAATACTAAAAAAGTATAATATTATACAAACAAAAATCTATTTTATGATGCTCATTGTTTCTAATGAGTCACATTCTCAGTTGTACATTAGTAGAAATATACTCACCACATTTTCTTGAATCTGGCAATTTGATACTGAAATACTCACAGAAATATCTCCTGGAAGAACATGTCAAAATAATATAAAGACACACAGAGGAACACAGTCAGTGAAAGAAGTAATAGCAAAATAAGTAAACACATGCCTACCATTCATGCTGTAGAGCTGTTTTCACACAAATCACAGAAGTTAAACTATTAGACTATTTTTTTTATTTCAAGATAAAGAATGACTGTGCATCACTTGGTTTGAAAAATATTTTACCAGGTTACAATAATGTTGGAAGTCTGAAAGACTTGAGTTCCAATATTCTGCCATTTTTAAGTTCTGATGTGAGCTAGACACCTTAATCTAAGCTTGATTTCCTCGGCTATAAAATAGGTACAGCATCAGCATCTGTAAGTGGGAACTATTTTGGAGCTAAACTAGAATCACATGTAAAGTGCATATGTACTAAAAAATATTCTTTTTAGAGATTCATAAATTTAAAAGCTATAATAGATCAACAAGACACTGTGATATTTTAAAAATTAATTTGCAGATGTCATAAAATTATCCCTCTAAAATGTATTTGTGAAAGTAAAATTTAATGTTTGAGTTGTATTTTGGCAAGCATTAGATCATATTATTAAAGAACAGAGTCGTTTGTATCCCTCCTCCACCCGAGATAAAATTATCAATAGTCATCAAACACTATGCGTAGAGTATTGCTTTGTGCACCAAGTATTGCACCTGATAACATGGTATTTAATATGTTGATTCAAATTTGCAAACAGAGTAATTTAGGCTAACTGCAGTTTGTTATTAAGATGACCAGAATATTTTTTTTATTCTATAATTTTTTAATTTTATTTATTTTTTTTTACAGAGGTTTTGGATTTCCATTCATTCATTGCCGCAATTTTCTCCCTTCCCACCCCTCCCCACCAGCTCGCTTCCCTCTCCAAAGAGAGAAAAAAAGAAAAGAAAAAATATTCCTTCATTAATATACAATTCCCACGTCCCTTCCCCCCATCCCCCACCCCGAGTACACTTCTCTATGCAACCTTAATTCTGGATTCCTGTGCTAGCCATAATACTCAATCAAATATCACTTTTAATCTGTTCTTTCCCTCATCTGTTTCAATACAACAGCATTGAAAAACAAGGAACCCATGCAATATTATTCAAAGTGGGTGACCCTGGAGGACATTATGCTGAGTGAAATATCTCAGTCCCAAAGGGACAAATACTGCATGGTGCCACAGAAAAAAACAGATAAATTATGTATATTGTATTGACCAGAATATTTTTAGGGAAGTCTGGTGGCCTAGTGGTAAGGAGATGTGCTGCCAACCCAAAGGTATCCAACCCAAAGGCATGCAGTTCAAAACCACCACATGCTCTGCTCTAGAAAGATGGTGAATCTCCTCTTATGCAATTTACTGACTCTGAAAATCCACTGGAGGGTCAGGCAGATATGAGTTGGTTCTGACTCAATAGTATGCTACAACCATAACATACTAATTTTTATTTTGTAATTACCAATTCTAGAATTCTGGTATTACCCAGTATCAAAGGTCTATACTAATTTCTTTTAAATTATTGATTGTGATTTAGGTAAAAGTTTGGGAAAGACTTACTTTCCATTCAAAATTTCATGCAGTGACTGTAATTGCTGCAATATAATGGTACCCTTTTCCACGTCTATTGTTACTGTACACTCTACCCTTCTTTCCCATCCCTTCCTGTCTTCTGAAAGTCATCCTGGGAAAATGTTGACCTTCTGATATCACATGCTTGGTTGTTTTATAGAGGGTGTAACTGGTAACAGTTCACCTTGTTGTTTAATTAAAAGTTCAGTGCCAGGGTGACATTGATTATAGGTCTGAAAAATGTTGAAGGACCATAGTTTTGGGGGTTCCATAAATCCTTAACGACCAGTAAGGCTGGTTATTTTGGGGTTTTGTTCTACATTATTCTTCCACTCTATCTATCTGAAGACAAAAATTTCTTAGTATGCAAAGCAGTTTTATTTAGAAGCCCTATCTTCTCAAACAAATGAAATCACTCCCAAGATAACATTTCTCATTCTGCTCCCAGAAAGGTGAGGTATATTTTTACTGAGATAGGAATAGCTAGAGGAGTGAGCTTCTAGCTACAGTTAGAAAACTGGAAGACTCACTGTGCGAATTGGTTCCTGAGCCCACAGAGGGACCCTTGGAGATGACTGGCATCAGTGCATGCTGGATGGCCATCTCCCACATCCTGGCCACATCAGTACCAATGCCACTGGTGAGGACACTGTTGTTTGGTGGTGGACTGGAAGGATTGATCACATTTTCCCCAACATAATATATTACATTTGCTGTTGTAATTTCAAAACAATGAGGATTGGTCCCAGTAGGAATTGAAGCTGACGTTTTTGCTGGTTCCAGGGATAAAATTTCTGATAAAGGGATTTCCTATGGAAGAAAGAGTAAGGTAAATGTAGTACATCAGTATAAACTTTTAAATAAAATTCATGCCAAGACCATGTGAGAGATAACATTTGCAAATGGCCATGATTTATATAGAACGGATTTATAATACACAGCATAACAAAAAAATTTTTTTTTACTTAGGGAAAATTTGTTATATCCTTTTTGGACAAAGTTAAGTGGCATTTTTATAGTCATCAAAATACAAAAATACACAGTTAAGAATAACCAATTTGAAAAAAAAAAGAATAACCAATTCGAATTTTGGTGAAAGAATTAGAATATAAATAAGAGTAAGAATGCTTTGAAATGCAGTGGGGTATGTACTGCTTATTGAAAAGGTTAATGACTTTTTTTGAGATGTTAATGAAAGTTTATAAAGAACTTGGGTTTCCAATCATTAAGATTACCTACTTTTTAAAGCAATGTACATCAATCCTATAACTTGAATCTACACAAGTTAATAAAATAGAGCTCAATAGTCCTAATAGGGAGAAACCAGAGATTGGTTTTAAAATCAATTCTCTTAAAATAATTCAGAAAATAAAAGTTACTGTCACACTGTCTTCAAAAAAACTTGACATGATTAAGAAATAATAATTTAAAAGTAAAGACTTTAATTTATAGGTGGAGGTTTCCATCTTTTATTAGAGCCATGTAAAATGGCTTTGGGAAATGTGATGCTTTGGAACTTTGGTGTTGGCAAGGGTACTGAATGTACTGTTGTTGTTAGGTGCCATCGAGTTGAGAATGACCCATAGTGACCCTATGAACAACAGATCTGAACCTTGTCCTGTCCTGTGCCATCTTTACACTTTTTGACACATTAGAGCCCTGCAGCAATCACCGTGTCAATCTACCTGGTCAAGAGTCGTCCTCTCTTTCATTGATGCTCCATCCTTCTAAGCATCACATCCCTCTCCAAGGAATAGCCTTCCTAGCAACATGTTCTGAGAATGTGAGGTAAAGCCTCAGCATCCTTGCCTCAAAAAAGCATTTTGGTGGCACTCTCTCCAAGGTACTGGATACCAATAATCAAAGACCAGATGAGTTGTGGGATGATATCAACAATGAAGAAAGCAAAAGGTCTCTTTAGGGTATATTCCCAGTAGAGAAATTGCTGGGTCAAATGGTATTTCTATTTGCAACTTTTTGAGAAAGTGCCATACAGCCTTCCATAGTGGTTGCACCATTTTACACTCCAACCAACAGTGAATAAGGGTTCCAGTTTCTCCGCAACCTCATCAGCATTTGTTGTTTGTTGCTCTGTTGAATTTTGCTATTCTTACTGGGGTGAGATGATATCCCATAATATTTTTGATTTGCATCTCTCTGCACACCCATGTTTATTGCGGCTTTGTTCACAATAGCAAAGAGGTGGAAACAACCTAAGTGACCATCAACAAACAAATGGATAGAGAAGCTGTGGTATATTCACACAATGGAATACTATGTTGCATTGAAAAACAAGGAACTCACTCAGTATTATTCAAAATGTGGAACTACCTCAGTCACAAAAGGACAAATACTGAATAGTGCCACTGTTGTAGAATGGGACTGACATCAGGATTGGGGTGAGACTGAGAAAAATTGGATAAATTATGTATACGGCATTGAAACAGATGAGGAAGAGAACAGTTTAAACGTGATATATAATTGGGTATTATGGTTATGACAAGAGTCAGAATGAAGGTTGCATAGTGGAATGTACTTGAGGCCATGGGGAGATTGTATACCAATGAAAGAATTTTTCTTTTACTTTTCAAGAGAAGAGCAAACTAGGGGGAAGAGGGGGAAAGGGAGAAAAATGCAACAATGAATGGAAATCCAAAATCTATATAAACGTTCATTAAAATAAAAACAAACAAACAAACACAAAAAAGGTCATTAAAAATACAGAGGAGAAAGAAAAACCAGAAGAGAATCTAAAAATTTCACTAGAGCATCGAGAAATCAAAGTAAGGGGAAAACATGCCAAAGTAAAGTTGCTGCAGAGAAGTTTTCAAAGGTCAGCTGGAGAGGACAAAGAAAAGTAGTACAATGGAATGTGCAGAGAACTGGAATTGGAGAACAGAAAAGGGAAGAACTCACTCTGCATTTCTGAGGCTGAGAGAACTGAAATATTAATTTAAATCCTGATTTGCAATACTGAAAGATGCAATGGGCAATATTCTGAATGACTTGGAAAGCATCAAAAGAAGATGGAGGGAATACACAGAATTGCTACACAAAGAGGAACTGACACTGAACATTTCAGGAAGTACCACATGAGCAGGAGCCAAAAAATAAGGCCCCAGGAATCAACAGGATACCAACTGACTTGTTTCAATTAACAGACAGCCTTGGATGTGCTCACCAGTCTATGCCAGGAAATTTGGAGGAAAGCTGTCTGGGCAATGGATTGGAAGAGATCTGTATTTGATCCATTCCCAAGAAAGGTGAGCCAACAGAACGTGGAAACTAAAGACTGACAAAAGAACAAACAACTCTGCTTGGAAGAAGTGGAGCCAGAATGCTTTTTAGACGCGAGTGGTGATAGCTCATCTCAGGTATCCGAGTATATTGTCCGCTATTATCAGTTCCTGGAGAAAGATGTCCTGCTTAGAAAAGTAGAGGGTCAGCTAAAGAGGAAAGAGCCCAGTGAGGTAGAATGATATAATATCTACAATGGGCTTAAGAAGAATGATGATTGTGAGGATTCCAGAGGCTAAGTCAGGACTTCCTTCTGTTCTACTCAGGGTTGCTATGTGTCAGAGTCTGCTCAATGGCACTTGACAATAATACGTCTGATTTGACTAGTTTTGAAAAAAGTACCTCCTCTTTCACTATGAATTCCTTTAGTATTGGTGTTTTACTCTTCATTATGCCACATCTTTGTGACTTAATATAGAAGGAAATGATAAAAATTGCTGCCAAATGTGTCTCTAAACAGAAATATTCCTGATAAACATTATTGTTGATAATGGTTAGAAAAATAATAAAATGATTCTTAGCACTCGAGATACACTACAAGACCAAAGATATAAGGACAAGCAAGATGTATTGGACCTCAAAAATTTACTTTTGGATAATTTTTTGTAACATCAAAATTTCTAGTTTAATTACGCAATGTTTGCTAAAATGCTCATTTTAGCTGCTTCTTCTCAAAATCATCCCATGGGGCCAGAAACACTCCCTAGGAGTAAGTGAACCTAAAAGAAATCACAACACAAATACTCAGAAATACATAAATTACATAGAAAGAACAACAAAAATATATTGTGGATAAAAACTCAGAATTGTCAGATGTTTGTGTTTCTGCTATTCTATAGGTGGCCTAGTTTTTAAGAGTTATGTTGCCAACCCAAAGGCAGGCAGTTCAAATTCATCACCAGCTGCTTTTCAACAGAAAGATGGTTAATCTCCTTCAGTGTAATATAAATGGGCAATCTCCTCCTGTGTGATTAAAAGCAACCATGAATGAATGGAAATCCAAAATCTATGTAAACATCCATTAAAATAAAAAAAAAGGCCTCTAAATAAACATGCTGAAGGGTCAGCTATGAGTAGGTTCTGACATGACAGAAATGACATGGAGGAGAGAAGGGAGTAAGAGAGAGTGAGCAGGAAAAAGTGTTACTCTGTATTTTCCTGGGAAATGAAAGTTCAACTGAAAGCCACCCTTACCTTGTAGTACCTGCTTCCTGTGTCATTTTGAAAGAGGGTAATACATTTGCTATCCAATCTCCAATAGTGCCGTTTCCTCTGAAATGGAAATTAGAACAGGATTATTTAAGAAATTTAATAATACTCAAGATAAATAAAATAAAAACATTTTCCAAATAACATGCATGGACTTTGGACTAGGGATATTCAATTTTAGACCTGCAACTGTTATGAGGTAGGTGACTGTGTTACATCATAGGTCTACGAGTAATAAGGCTTTATGTACTAATACGGAGTGCTAGGTCTGGCACTTACTATGTGAACTAGAATACAGAAATAGAATGCAGTATTTAAAATTATTGGGCTGTTTGAGGAGTTAAAGAAGGATCTGTAGTCTGTGATAAAATAAAAAGCCTTAATATGAGAGGTAATGTTTACATATACTCAATTTTCTAGAACATAAGAAATACCATGTTGATTCAGCCAGGGGTTTTCGCTTCCATTAGAGATTGAATAACTCTGAATATTACTGCAAATTTTGAATATTTCTTTTGTTGGACTAGGAAGCTGACTCCATGACATCAATAATGTAAATAAAACAACTGATGTATTCAATAACTCTTCTTTTAAGCTCACTATAGATCTCTATTCTTGATTTATTAATCAGGTTCTAATTTACTTCAAGTACCTTTCTTAATTTTTTAAAATTCATTTTCATGAACATTTACGAGATTTTGGGTTTCCATACAATCATTGTTGCATTTTTCTCCCTGCCCACCCCTCCCCCCAGTTCACTCTTCTCTTTGAAAAGTAAAAGAAAAAAAATTAGTTCATTGATGTGGAATCTCCCCCTCCCCCAGTACACTCCACTATGCCACCTTCATTCTGGACTCCTGTCATAACCATAATACCCAATCATATATCTCTTTCTTTCTTAATTTGAAAGCAAGAATGAGAAAGGGACTGAAAGTTATTTCTGGTCCTTTTTACAATCGTTCTTCAGCCTGTAAAGTACATTAAATGCATTTTAAATACACTGCCAAGTTAAACTAGATGTATTCAATTACATCATAAAATAAGTCAAGTAATTCTTCAACATAGAAGGTCAAGATTACAAATAGAGCAACAATAAACATTTACAGACAACCCCTGGGATACAAGCATCCAGTTTACAGAAAACAGTGACTTGGTCTTTAATGCCATGTATCCTGGGATCTCATTTGGAAACAAAAAACGACTAGCCACGACTGATTCACCACAATCACTTTTAGTTGCTGTAGGTATAGCTTTTTAATCATTGAAAATGCATTAAGCCTTTTCTGGCACTAAAGTAAGGCTAAGAAACATTATTTTAAAATTAATAAAAAAGAAAAAAATAAACCCAAAAAAAACCATAAGGAAAAAAAAAAGAAAAGCACTATCAGTGATTGAGAAATGAGCTCAAGACTAATTGTCAATTAAACCTTGAAGAGGGGATTGAATGTTCCCTCTCACATACTCAGCCTCAATAATAAACTATTAAGAAAACTCAAAGTAGTGAACACACTCAGATTAGATGAAGAAAAAAAAATTAAAACGTGTTATCAGAGAACTCTGATCGCCTACTGCATAGAGAGTTCTGCTGCTAACCCAAGAGCTTTTCCCTGGTATTTTAAATCCACCAGTGGTCCTGAAGGAGAAATGGGCAATCTCTTCCTGTGCAAATTCAGAGCCTCAGAATCCCAATGGAGGGTCATTTATCAGCTGGTTCCAACCTGATGGCAATGACCATGACTTTAATCTGAGAAATTATGTCCTCATACTCAGGAATGGATTCGTTTACAACTGACTATAAAATTAATTATTTGAGATATATGCACTAGATTTTTCCTCCTCCCTAAAATGTAATGTTTCGCTTTCTATCGTGAATTGCAGAGGAACATTCTGAAAGTAGTTTTGTTAATTGTTCTCAAGTGACAATTAGCCATTCATTTTCTTTAATGGTTTTCTCAAGTAATAGAAGCAAATAAATAATCTCATCCCCCCGGGTACTTTTTATTCTCCCCTACCTCACTCCATTGCTTGTTCAACTATATCTGAGATCTTGACTAGTAATGTGCTCCTTCATCTTATTTGATGCTTGGTTCTGCTCTGCTCCTAGAAGCTCGGATGTGTCAAAGACCAGTGAGCATCATCACCAAAGCAAAAGAACCACGCTCCCTGCAGAACTCACCAGCGCGTCCTTGCTGGTGTAGTGGACCATCCACCCCTCCTTCATCACCGTGCTGCTTTTCCTCTTTGTGTGTTTGACAGATTGCACGACTCTCATGAGTGGGATATTGTTGCTTGTTGATGGACTTGAAAAGTCAAAATATTTTAGGAAAGAAATGTTTTTTAGATATTGATCATTTCATGCATAAAATTTCAACTTAGCTCTTTTGAAATGAAAGCAAAAAAATTCACATCCAATTTCTAGAAAAATATAAAATAATTTTTCAAATACCATACAGCATATAATCTCAGTTACTCTGAAGTGTGATTGGCATCTTTCATGCACACTTTAAAGATCCAAGATAACAAGCACCTCAGGTTTAGGTGAGAACAAGAAGTGTTCTGTATCAGGTACTGTTATAGTGTACTGAAGCCAGTGTATTCAGTACCAAGTATGCAAACGTAATTATTTACCATTTCAAATTATTAGTTATGCATAGATTGTCTTATTCAACATCAATGCAAAGTCTTTGTACAATTTCATAAAAATTACAATCTTCAAAGTAAGCTAGCATTTAATAACACTTCTACATGGCATTATGCTGGTCTTTGATTGTTTCTTCCTCTCACATACCTTAACATATCCTCTGGTATTAAAAAAAGGTGTATCTTCTAAAGATGGTTGGGCCTTAAACTAATATTTTACACTGCTTTAAAAATACTCATTATATCATTAGATGAATTTTATTCTAATAAAATCATATTACTCTAGTCTCAAACTATTATAATGTGTCAATGAACAGGACATAATCAAAAAGGAAACAAAAGTTTCAATCTGCTTTGCAATATAACTTAAAGGTTGTCAAACTTCTTTGTGCGAGAGCCAGAAAACAAAAATTTTGAGCTTTACCAAGTATTTTTCACTCTATTCTTATAATGCAAAAGTAAACATTCAATACAAATTCTCACCACTTAACTACAAGAATGTTCCAATAAAACAGGCAGTATTCAGAAATGGTCTAGTGGCTGTAGTTTGCTGAACAAATGCCAGCAAAAATAAAGGACTACTGAGTAATCAAAGATTAGATTTGTGATCTCACAAACATAAAATTACACATAAAATGAAATTCAGTGAGATGTAGACACAATGTGAGGCCAGCCATAAAACAGTGTCTGCTGAAGCTGATCTTTTATCTTTGCATATCCACACAAATAAGTGTTGAATAAATATTAACTTAGTAGCAAACAAATGTGCGTATATCCTCATATGTAAAGGAAAATGGGTCAATGAATGTGCCAGTGCTTAGAAAGAAAGCAAAATAACTCTCCTACAAGAGAATCCAGGTCTTATAATTGCAAGGTCTCATAAGTAAATTACACAGCTCATCTATACACGTGTGAAACACACACTTGAAACTTCTTTTATAATAGGTTAAAACACCAACTAGGCCTTAAAAGTAAACACCACTCATTCCACTGTTTGACTCGTACCTAATGGTTCTGTTGGAGTCTTCATGATCTTGGTCTGGATCCTGCATTTCCCCACTGTCATTCTGGCACTCCACCATCACCATTTCAGCGTCTTGGACCATGGCCTCTTCCATGTCATCCATAAGTCCACTGTTCCTCTCACTGTCATTGTCATCACTCCCTTCTTCCATGACCACATCAGACTCTGCTCCAGGGCCAAGTAAATCTAGAAAATTGTTTTGGACTCATAAAGATAAACATGGAACTGAAGTTTAAAGGAAAGCTAACCAAAAGCCATGCTCACTGCTGCTGAATTGATTCCTTCTCAGAGCAAGCTTCCACTGGGCTTTTAGTATGTAAATATTAAAGAGAGTATGATGCCACATCTTTCTCCTGTAGAGTAGCTGATAGTTTTGAACAGCTGATATTTTTGTTAGCAGTCCAACAATCAACTTAATATGCCACCAAGGTTCCTAATGAAAAGCTAGACAATTTTAAAATAAATCAAGTAAAACCATTAACAAAGCCATAGACCTTTGGTGGTATAGTGCTTAGAGAGTTGCACTTTTAGCCCAAAAGTTATGTCTCTCTTGTGGCTCAAATACCAGCTAGAAGAAAGATGAGTAGTCACTTCCCATGTGATTTACAGCCTTGGAAACCCATTGGAGGGTCAGGTATAAGTTGGTTCCCACTGATTTGCAAAAAGTCATGTGACTACGTGATGAATTTAACTTCTCTTTTTTTTTTTGCTCATAAAGGTATGATTGGTATGGGAACAAATATATAATTTTCCAGGCAGACATGTGTTTTCTGTGTATATAAGTTTAAACGAAGAAAAGTTTTAGAGATCCTTAGAAGATACCCAAAGGTGAGATGGAAAGAAAACACTATGAAGCAAATAGATCACAGATATAAGTGAATAGGAGATGGACACAATGTTGAAAGTACATCACTGATCTATGGGTCACTGATTCTTACAATTGTAGCTTTTGTTCTTGAAATAAAAATTTAGTATATTAAATTGGTGACAAAAGCAATAGTTTTTAAACCCTAAGATACTGACTCAGTGGTAAACAACACAAAGATACTACATAATTGAAGTAATATAGAATCTCTTAATCATGAGGAAGTTGATGACAACCTATTGTGAATATGTACAAAGATAAAATACTTACTTTAATATTAGATAATGTATTGATTTGAGGCACTAGCCGAACAGGCTTATTTAAGACTGAATGGGAAAATAAAATTTCAAATTCATCGTCAATGTCAAAAACTGCATGCACTGTTTCTGTAAGCTGCAGGCTCCATGGGCCTGAATAAAGTTAACACCACATGCCCCAGAGAGTGGGGAGCCTGCCAAGCTTTCAATTTTGGCAGCTAATGCATGAACTTCTACAAAAGAAATTAGTTTTGGAATGGTTTTCAGGATAGATCACGCTTCTTCTTCCAGGTATTTATTTATTTTAGAAAGAAGTTCCACAAGAAAGTCAAACATTTGTTCTTCAGCTTTTTAGGAATGAAAATATTCAACTTGTTAAACTGCTTTACTACAGACAGCTATTTTGCAGATTAATTCCCAGAGGAACTGGAAAAATGATATCAGTCTGAATATATAAAGCAGTCTACTAGCTATGGAAAAAAATTAGTCTACATTTCTAAGTAAAAAGTTTTGGTAGAGATCCATTAAGAATATTTCCTGGAAATAAAATATGAGCTGCTCCTTTACACTACAGCATTTTTGTTAGGAACGCTTCAAAGTTAAATTAGAACTTTTCAAAGGAATATACTCAAACATAGGAGGGAAAAAATCCCCCAAATCATAGAAACCCTCTGTTGGATTTCCAAAGTTACAAATCGTAACAGAAAGACACTGTCCACTTTTATGCTGAGAACTGCTGGAAGAGTCAAACTGCTGATGGATTTGAAGTGCTACAGACACGAGGCCTGGCAATCAACTTGCCTTTAATTGGGAGCACCTTGACCTGTCTTACCAACAAGAGATTCCCCTCGCAGGCTCTGAACTAACATTTCTCTGAAGTCAGAAGTTCAGAGAAATGCACAAGTTCGGTAGCTGCCCAACTGATCTCAAGAACACTGTCTTCAGATCAAGAACATATCAATGTCTCAAAGAAAGCAAATTATCCCACACAATACACAAGAGCAAAGCAAGATGTCACTCAAAAAGGGTGACACAGTATCAGTAGATTCCCTGAAGCCAGAAGTCTGATGGAACTTTCTGACACAGAATTTAAAAGAGGAGTGACTGAATATATCCAATGGATGAAAGACAAACTTGATGAATTACAGGATACTACAAGCAAAAACCAAAAGGAGCTAAAAAAAACGATGCAGAACATTGCAGAGAAAACAAATGAGGCATTAGTGGCACTGGAAAAACAAGAATCCACTATTCAAATTATAAGGTCCAATGTTTCAGAGGCTGTCAACATGTTGGAGGGATATATGAGCAGAGTTGATGAGATGGAACACAGAATCAGTGAAACTGAAGACAAAATTGTCACCACTGATCTGCTAGAGCAACAAACAGACTCAAAAAAAGAAGGAAAAAGAAGAAAACCTAAGAATAATGTGAGACACCATCAAGAAAAATAACATGCGCATCATTGGAATCCCAGAAAAGGAAGAAGAAAGTGAAGGCACTGAAAAAGTTGTAGAAGAATTACTAGAGGAAAACTTCCCAGGCATAATGAAGAATTAGAGAATATGTATTCAGGAAGCTCAGTGAACCCCATATACATTAGACCCCAAAAGAAAAACAACAAGGCATATAGTTAAATTTGACATAACCAAAGATAAGGAGAGAATCCTGAAAGCAGCAAGGGAGAAACAAAGAGTAACCTATAATGGAGAACAGATAAGATTAAGTGCCAATTTCTCAGCAGAAACCATGCAGGCAAGAAGAGAGTGGAAGGACATATATCAAACACTCAAAGAACACAACTGTCAACCAAGAATACTGTGCCCAGCAAAATTATCCATCAAATATGAAGGACAGATCAAAATATTCCCAGAAAAGCAGAACCTAAGAGAGTTTGTAAGAACAAGACCAGCATTGCAGGAGAAACTCAGAGATGTCCTTCTTACAGATATACCACAGAAAGCTCCATGGTCCAAAGTAACTAGCAACAACACCAAGAAGAACTCAACACAATGATAGCAATAAACCTAGCCTCTCAATACACACTGAACATGAATGGTTTTAATGCACCGCTGAAGAGAGAGTAGCAGATTGGTTAAAAAAACAAAATCCATCAATACGTTGTCTACAAGAGACACACCTGAAAAATGAAGATAAAGACAGGCTAAAAAGAAAAGGGTGGGGAAAAATATACCAAGCAAGTAACAACCAGAAAAAAGCAGGAGTAGCCATATTAATCTCTGATAAAATAAATATCAATGTGTAAAGACCATCACAAAGGACAAGGAAGGTCACTACATAATGCTGAAAGGGTCAATAGAACAAGAGGATATAACAATAATAAATATCTATGCACCAAATGAAAGACCAGCAAAATACATAAAACAAACATTAACAAAACTGAAAAAGGAAATAGACAACACTACTATAGTGCTGGGAGACTTCAATACACCCCTCTCAAGAAAAGATAGAACTGCCAGAAAAAAACTCAACAGAGATACTGAAGAATTAAATCACACAATAAACCAACTTGACCTCATAGATATTTATAGACTAATGCACCCCCAAAAAGCACAGAATACCTTCTTCTCTAATATGCATGGAACATTCTCTAAAATATATCACATTCTAGGACACAAGGCAAGCATCAATAAATTCAAAAGCATAGAAATAATACAAACCATCTTGTCAGACCATAGTGCCACAAAATTAGAAATTAATGATAGGACAATAAAGGAGAAAAAAAACCCATACATTTGGAAGCTGAACAACACCTTGCTTGAACATGATTGGATAGTAGAAGAAATAAAAAATGAAATTAAAAAGTTTCTTGAAAGTAATGACAATGAAAACACCACTTGCCAAAACCTCTGGGAAACAGTCAAAGCAGTAATCAAAGGTCAATTTATAGCAATAAGCAAACATATCAAAAGACAAGAAAAACCGACTATTTACTCTCTAACCCAGTATCTCCAGCAAATTGAAAAAGAACAGCAAGAAAACCCGACACCCTTTAAAAAAATGGAAATTATAAAAACTAGAGCAGAAATAAATGAAGAGACATGAGGCTTTTAGTTGGCAACATTATAACCTGTTACAGACTATGCCAATAGAATGTAAAATATAGGGAAAAATGGTAAAACTATTGACTGCTAACTAGTGGATTGATGATTCAAACCTACCATCTATCAGAGAAAGAGGTCCCATAAATATTATAGCCTTGAAGGCCCTATGAGTCAGTTCTAACTCTGTGCTATAAAGTGCCTCCGAGTCAGAAATACTGCCACTGCACACCAGAACAATAGGAAAGAATATGTGTTTTTCAACTTGCTGAATATAAGTTCCCTTCATTACTAAAAATACAGGTTAGGAGCCACGTACGTAATAGAAATGAGGAGCCTCTGAGAGCCTTCCCTGCATTGGTAGATGGGGGTAGGAGTGGGGGAACTAACTTCCATTTAAATGATTAAAATGAGAACTACAACTTGTGGGCACATCAACCACTTTCAAATTTTGGAACATACTACAGTATAAGATTACAGAGCTGGGAATGACATTCTGGATGTCAAAGTTTTTATTACTGAAAGGTCACAGTGAAAAGGTCAACAAAGCCTCATTGATTTTTACCAAAGCTCAATGAGCTATATTGAGCGATTTTCTACAACAAAGGTAAATAAACTCAGTTCATCATTTGTCTTGGGCTAAGACAGATATGAACAGAAAGTTATGGTGGTAAACCAGCCAAACTCACTCAAAAAGCCAACTGCCACTGACTTGATCCCCACTCTTGGCGGCATTCTATCAGACTTTCCGGGTTGTGATTATTAATGGAAGGACGCTGGGTCATCGTCCTCCTGAGGAGCAGGTTGTGAATTGAAATTTGCAGCCTTTCAATAAACTGTCGAACACTTAACCTACTGTACACATCATCTACTGAGTCCTAGCTGTCACACTCTTGTAAAGAAAAGAAGCAAGGACAGGGACTTAGGTTTTCACATACCTCCATTAATGGTCACCTCACCGAGGCAGTTGTTTGGTACTTTGGGTGCACAACGCTTATGACAATTGAATCTGCAATCTATTTATGAGGATTATAAAACAAAACAAAGAGAAGAACTCATCAGGAACAGAATAATAAAAATAAAAAGCTGCAATTTCAAGTGGTGAGTTACTATCTTCAAGTTTGTAAGTCTGGTAGGTAAAAACATTTGGTAGCAAGGTGGTCTTACCTTTGCACTGCAGACCCTGTCTGAAGAGCCCCTTGAGAAGCTTCTTACAGTACTGGCACACGGTGGGGCGGGTGTAGGAATGGATGACAAACGTGTGCGGCACTTTCACTTTTGTCATCAAAATCTTGTCCAGCTGAATTGGCCGTCCGATATATGACTGAGAATTCGATCTCTTATCTCGACCGATAAATGACTCTGATGGTGACTTTTGCTATATATTTGAAAAACCAAAGAACAGGATATAAACAAGAACTTAATTTGTGTTTTAAATGTTTGGGTTTTTTTTATAATTTCATTTTGTTTCTGCTCTTGTATTTAGTGGTTTGATTCTTAAGAATATGAGTGAAAGAAATGAAAACTATCTTTCTGTGCACGTAACTTATTCACGGTCCCTGTAGAACCAGTTTAGAGAGTTCTGATGGTACAGTCAGTAGAGAGTTGCACTGTAAACATAAAGGCACACTTCTTCAGGAGTTTTATTCCATGAGGGAGAGGGAGAGAGGGAGAGAGATGAACAATTTCTTCCTGTGATTTACAACCTCTGACAACCTGCTGGGGGATCAACTATGAATCTGTTCCAACCTGATGGTGATGAGTGAGTTAGTTATGTCTTATTGAAGGAGTAATACAGTAATTAAACCTCACTGCTTACCTGACTAGCTGCTCTACAGGAGAAGATGTAACAGCCTTGGAAACTCTATGGGACAGTTCTTATAGGGTCACCACGAGTTTTAATACAGAAATGCAAAGATGAAACAACAACAATAACAATGAAATAGTCCTTAATCTTACTGCACACATTTATTCACTGGCGTTTTTTAGAAGTATTTGTACGTGATTAAAATATCAAATCAATTCAGAAATATTGGAAATTCAAACTACATACTCCCTGTTGCCATTCATGCTACTTCATCTGAAAAATGCCTGCAGTTATATTTCTTTTTGTTTTCCTAAGAATTGATGCCTTTGAGCTGTGGTGTTGGAGAAGAGTACTGAATATACCATGGACTGCTAAGAAAATGAACAGGTTCATCCTAGAGAGGGTGACGCCAGGCTGCTCCTTAGACAAAAGGATTCTGAAGCTTCATCTGACGTACTTTGGACATGTTGCAAGGAGGGACCAGTCCTTGGAGAGGGACATCATGCTTGGTAAGGTGGAGGAACGGTGCAGGAGAAGACCTTCGATGGGATGGATTAATTCAGTAACTGGGGTAATGGGGTTAGTTAGGTGTGTCAGAGACAGTGAGATTGGCATAGGATAGAGCAGGGTTTAGAGCTGCTGTACATAGGGTCGCTATGAGTTGCAGGAGACTCAACGGCACATAACAACAACAACAACAAAGGAAAGATTATGATTTTAAATAATTCTTTAAATTTATAGAACAAGAAGGATAATGATAGCCATAATTTTATATTTTAAAAAACAAAGCAACCAATGGATTAAACAAATATTGGTGGTGGTGTAATTATATCCCTTGCACTTGAGCTTCTCAGTCTGGAATGATTTAATTTGTCTAGTACATGTTGTTGGAAGCAGGAGTGACATCCACTTCCATAAATAGCTTGCCTCGGGAAACCCTACGAATGTGGAGAAAGGATGAAAGTCACGCAACTATCAAGGACTTTCGTTAATGGGTTGCTATGAATTGCCTACCACTCGACGGCACTTAACAACATAGAGAGAGACCAGTTGGCATACTGGACCGAAAGTGATGCTACCAAGCCACAGGTGGGTGACTCTAATCCGTAGCCATAAGGCCTGTCTTTAATTGTTTTGGTCAAACATTCTTCTAGGTCGTATAGCCCTGGTATGTCCACTTGCCATACAGAGGCAACTTGTGGTCACTGTGAAGCTGAACACTGTGACACTGACGTGTCAAATGCGATAATGGTCACCCATGGTGGACAGTGTTTGGTGGCACTCCATGGATGAAACATGCTTGGAAGCAGGAGTGGCATCCACTTCCATAAACAGCTTGTCTGCAGAAACCCTATGAACATGGAGAAAGGACGAAAGTCAAACAACTGTTGAGGACTTTTGTTCATAGGGTCGCTATGAGTTGCCTACAACTCGACGGCACTTAACAAACAACAATACATGTTATTAAATGAATACTAATGAACCCTGTTTTCAGTGCTTTAAACAATCTCATGATATCACTTCAAATCATGGGCATGTGAATGGGACTCATGAGAGTGAAAGTATCATGGAATCATACAAGTAATATGTGAAACGTTTTAAAATGCTACATTAAGGTTCTTAGTAATTTATTAAGATCTATATTATAGCAACCACTGTGATGATGCTGTTGTTATGTGCTGTCGAGTTGCCAGTGAGTCATGGTGAGCTAATATACAACAGCTCTGAATCCTACCTTATCTTGATCCAATTTCATTGTCTTGACAGACCCAATCCCACTCAATCCAGTCACTGAGTTAATCCATCTCCTCTTGCATCCTCCTTTCCTACACTGTCCCTCTTTCCGAGCATGATGTCCTTCTCCAAGGATTGGTCCCTCCTGGTCACATGCCCAGAATATGTGAGACAGAACTGTTTGTTCTTCTGGCAGTCCAATTTATGTTCAACACTCTTCTTCAGCACCATGACTCAATGGCATTGATTCTTTTTCTATCATCCTTAGTCATTGTCTAGCTCTTTGACGAATAGCAAGCAATCACAAAGATCATGGCCTAGATCAGGTGCACCTTAGTCTCCAGACCGACATTGTTGCTCTTCTCTAGTACTCTAGAGAGATCACTGACAGCAGACTTTCCCACTGCAATTGTTTTGATTTCCTGACTACTAGTGCCAAGAGTGTTGATTAATGAACCAAGTAAATGGAAATTGTTGACAATCTCAATCTCTTCTCCAAGCTGCTAATTGGCCCAGTGGTGAGAATCTTTGTCTTCTTGATATTGAACATCAATCCATATTGAAGACTATAGTCTTTGATCTCCTGCAGCAAATATCTCATGTCCTCCTTAGTTTCAGCAAGCACAGCTGTGCCATCTGCATAATGCAGGTTGTTGATGAATCTTTCTTCAGTCCTGATGCCACATTCCTCCTCATAAAACCCAGCCTCCTGAATGATCTGTTCTGTATATACATTGAAAAGGTATGGCAATAGGATGCATCCTAGACACCTTTCCTGATTATGAGTCATGCATTGTTTCCCTGTTCTGTTCTGATTACTGCTTCCTGGTCTAAGTACAGGAACACCATTAAGTGTTCTGGGATTCTCATTCTTCTCAAGGTTAGCCACAATTTGTTGTAATGCACACAGTCAAATACCTTTGCATCATCAATGAAACACATATAGACATCCCTCTAGTACTCCCTTCTGTTGGTCAAGATGAACTTAACATTGGCTATGAAGTCCCTAATGGCACAGCCTCGTCTTAACTCAGCCTGCACATCTGGTAGTTCTCTGCTGATATACTGTTCCAGTAGTTTTTTAATAATCTTCAACAGGATTTTGCTTGCATGTAATAGTAGTGATACAGTTTGATAATTTCTACACTCTGTTGGTCACCTTTTTTTGGAATGGGAATAAATATAGATCTTTTCCAGTAAGTTGGCCAGGTAGCTAGCCTCCAGATTTCTTGGCACAACCAGGTGAGTGTGTCCAGGGCAGCAACTGTTTGCTGAAATATGTCAACTAGTATTCCACCATTGCTGGGACCTTGTTTTTTGCCAATTCCTTCAGAGCAGTTTGTACTTCCTCCTTTATCACCATATGCTCTTGATCACATGTTGTTTAATGAAATTATTCGGTGTCAGTGAATTCTTTTTGGTATAGTGACTCTGTACTCATGCCATCTCCTTTTGATGCTTTCTGACTCATTCAACACTCTCTCCTCTGCATCCATAACTAACTAATTGAGGCCTAAACCTGTTCATCAGTTCCTTCACATTAAGAAATAACGAACAAGTTTGTCCCTTTTGAGCTTCCAATTCCAGCTCCTTGCACATTTCATTATATGCCTTTGCTTTGTCTTCCTGTGCTGTCTTTTGAAATCTTCTGTTATGCTCTTGATTTCTTCCCTCTGCTTTGGCTTCTCAGCACTGTAGTGCAATATTCAGAGTCTCTTCTGACATCCATGTTGGTCTTTTCTTTCTCCTCTATATTTATAATGACTTTTCACATTTTTCATGAATGATATTCTTCATATCCTCCCACAGCTCATCTGGTCTTTGCTCACTTGTGCTCAGCACTTTAAACATGTTCCTGAGATGGTTGTTATATCCTGGTGGAATAGACTTGAGGTCAAACTTTGGTTCTTGTAGATTTTATTTACTTTTTAGTTTCAGTTTGAACTTACATTTGAGTAGTTGATGGTCTGTTCCACAATCAGATGCACATGGTCTACTTTTCACAGCTGATATTGAGCTTCTCCAGTGATTTCATAAAAAACATATAGCACCTTCTGAGACAGCCTTCTTATGTATATTTTACAGTTGAAGGATTCTGACCACAAAGTACACATATATTTCTTTGGGTAAAACAGCTGTTAAATACCTACTGCTGCTGAGTTGATTCCACTCACAGAGATCCTTTAAATCAAAGGAGAACTGCCTCCTAGGGTTTCCAAGGTTATAGTAATTAGGAAGTAGATTGCCACGTCTTTTTCCCATAGCATGGCTGATGGGTTTGAAATGCCAACTTCTTGGTTAGCTGCAGAGAGCTTAGCCACTGTACCAATCCTCCTTTGCTACTTGCACAGCAGAGCTCAAAATCTGAATCTACATTTGTTTACCTCCAAAACTCCTGATTTTCGTACTACATCTTTTTGCCTTTTTACATATGCTCAATTAGTTGAAAGAAATCAATAACAAAAAATTAAAAGTAAATAATCACCTAATTTGACTCATATGAGAGCCACTCTCACCTGAAAAGTCTAAGTGAGAGTGTCCTATTGTTTTCTTAATGGATCAACATCAAACCGATTCTCTAAACACAATTACAGTTAAGTAACTGAAACGTGTTCTGGATTTCTGTATTTTTGTCAACATGCATTACCACCTTTCCAAGTTAGTTTCTATTTGGATCAATTACTGACAAGAAAGAAATCAGCTTTACATAAAATTTCTCCCATCTCAATCCTTATCTGCCCTCAAAGGTAATAAATATCCTGTTATAAAAATGTGAAAAATTCTTATTTGCAAATTCACTAGCTAACTTATAGCAAATAGAAATGCGTTATATGTTG